TTTTTTTTTTGCAGTACTGGGAGTTGAACTCAGGAACAGTCTACCACTAAACTGCATTCCCAGCCCTTTTTTGATTTGAGACAGCGTCTTTCCACCCTGGATCCAGGGTGGCCTTGAATTTGGCAATCCTCCTGCATCAGCTCCCCAGGTAGCTGGGATTACAGGCATGTCACTGTGTGGTACTGGGGTTTCAAACCCAGGGCTTTGTGTATCCTAAACAAAGGCTCCACTGCTGAGCTATGCCCACAGAAAGTACCCCACTTCTCAAGTACCACCCTGTCTTTTTAGCCTATGTTCTTTTATGCCCCTTACTCTAAGCGTCTTTTTATCCAGTGGCCCTGTGTGCTTCTGCTGTTTACCATCCCTCAGCTTTGCCGCGCCATTGTTCCCCTCTTTACCTTGATTACCTCCCTATCAGTCCATATAATCGGCACCTTTTCCTTGCCTTCCTCCTGCTTCCGTACACTGCTCCACAAGGTCACTCTGCTGATTAATTCAAGCTCGGCCTATTCTGCGCACCTGAGGATGGCACCTGCCTCCACACACCAGGTAGTGGTAAGAGAACAGCAGGGCTGTGACCTACTGAGTGGTTTCAAGGGGACCCTGAGCTGCCCAGCAGTCACGCTGTATTTCCTGGTTCATTCACTCTCCTACTCCTAGATGACTGACTACTCAGATCTTCCCTTCTCCTCAGATCTCCAGCACCCTCTTCCCGCCCTCCCCTCGGCTGCTAAATTTTTTGATTCTACTTGTCCCTATTGTACAGGGAAGATAAGGGCGATCAAGATAGAATGAGGCAGGTCCACCACTGCTCTTGCTCTCCTGCATGCTCCTGCTCCCCTGCATGCTTCTGTGTACCCTGCATGCTCCTGCTCCCTTGTATGCTTATCGGTACCCTGCATGCTCCTGCTCCCCTGCATGCACCTGCTCTTCTGTGTGTTCCTGCTCTCCTGCATGCTCCTGCATGTGTACCCTGCCATCCCTCCTATGATGGGGCTGGACTCGCTCTGCTCTTCACAAAGCCCACTCCTTTGTGTATTTGAGAATGTCGTTCAGTCATTTTTACCCTTCCTTTTGTGATATCCCTGTTGTAGGCGAGTAATGGCCCCAAGGTTTCCAGACCCTGTGAATGTGTTATCGTCCATGTCTGTGGAAAGGAACTTTGAAGATGTGATGAAGTTAGAGGTCTTGAAGTGAAAGGACCCTGGGTCATCTGGGTGGACCTAGTGTAATCACACTGGTCCTTATAAGAGGAGGTAGAAGGGTCAGAGTCAGAGAAGATGTGATGATAGGAACAAGGGATTGGAGTGATAAAAGGAAGGAACCAGGGACTGGGGTTGGGGCTCAGAGGTAGAGTGCTTGCCTAGCA